CTTAGATCCCACATTCTTTCTCAGGCATCTCTGTTGCCCTCACCTGTCTCTGAGCCGAGCGTTCATGCCGGTGTGACTTGCTGCATGTTGTGGACAAAGACCACAGACAATTCCTCACCAGGGCTTGCATGCAAATGCTGGAAAGAGAGGAGGGGAAGCCAACCCCTGAAGGAACTTTGTCTCTCCAGATGGATGGAGAAGCAGCTCCCAGCAATAGCTCTGGAACGGCTTCCTTGCCACTAACTCTCGCTTTCTCTCTCTCTCTCTCTCTCTCCCTCCCCTTGGTATGCTGGGATTGGAAAGAAGGAGCAAATAATCCTGCTCCTGTTGCTCAGCATCACATCCACACAGCTTCAAGTACACCTAAGGCATTTGTCCATCGCCCGGAGCAGCCTGGCTTCTGAGAGGAGGTGGAAGGAGAAAACCAGGGACTTGCTTGCCTCTGAAGCCTCTTCTTCATTCGTGCCTTTGATTGCTGGGAAAACTGACCAGCCTGGAGAAACTGGAAGCAAACTCCATACTTTTGAAGACCTCTGGGGAGACAAGCAGCAGGCAAACCTAGTGGAAATAAAAAAAACAGACAGTAGGAACTTAAGAGGAAGGAAACAATCACCATTTCAGGGTCTGAAAAATCTGGAGGGACGTTCAGATCAGGAGAGACACTAAAAGGAGGAGTTGGAAGAAGCGGGGGGGGGGGGGGGCATCCCTCCAGGTGCCCTGGATTCTGGTGAGAAGAAAACTTCTCCTTTTCTGCTGCCTTCTCTTCTCCCAGCCATGGACAGGCACGTGTGGTTCACTCCTCCACAGGTCTCCAAAGCCTTCCGTTGGGTGGGGAGATCCAACAGCACCAAGTCCCCCCTCTTTCCATTCCACAATCAACCCTCCTTCCACGAGGACCTGGATGTGAAGCTCACGGGAGAGTTTGAGCGGGACACCGGTTACGAGGAGGAATCGCAGAGCCAAATGAGGAAAGCCCTCCTGGTTGTGGCTTATTCAGCCATTATTTGCATCTCGCTTTTGGGCAATGGTGTGGTGTGCCATGTGGTGGTGAAGAACAAGAGGATGCACTCGGCCACCAGTCTTTTTATGATCAACGTGGCTGCAGCCGATATCCTGATCACTCTCCTGAACATGCCTTTCACCCTGGTAAGCAACCCTGGTCCCACCATCGCTTTCTTAAAGAGGGCCCCCCCCAATGCAGATTCCTCCCTTGCGAGACTGGTCGATTGGGCCAGGTGCTGGGGCTCAGTTCTAGAGAAAAGTTCTAGAGAAGTCCAGTGGATTTGGGGGTCCGTCCTTCCTTTTTGTCCAAGGATTTAAAGCTTGGGAAAAGTACATCAGCTCTGAAAAAATGTTTCGTTTGCCAAACTTCTTGCTAGAACAGGAGACTGTGAGAGCTGAAAAGATGTAACCTTGAGAAATTATTGGAAGGGCCACCTTCTGGTTCAGCCCATCTTATTATACTCCCAAGCATACCATTCAAAGAACAGAGGGGAAGAGAGTTTGAAGGTAAGCGCTCCTTCAGAGTTGAAGCTGTGATGTGGTTTCTTGGGGAGAATGATGGGGCTTAAGGTCCTATAGGCTTGGAAGTCATTAGGCTGTGTGAGGCTGCTCCAGGCATGTCCTTTACAGACACTGTGCTATGCTGAAGCCATTCCAGAAACATTCCCCCCCCCTCCCATGGAATTATCCTTCCACTCCCCACCATTAGAAACTCCCCACCAGCTTTGGATGCCAACTTGCTCCTTCTTTTGAGGGGCTTCTAGGGGTGGCATTCAACTGGTGTAATAACCAGTACAGTGAGCGCACATTTTTGGTGAGCGCACACATTTGATGAGTGGGTGGGTTTCTTTGAATCTGTTGCATTACAAGCTACCCATTTTGACAGAGTCCAGTTAATTCAGTGAGCAGTTGAGTTGAGATGTTCAGCTGCTCTCTCCCAGAGAGAGACCTTGGGGAGGCCAAACAGCTGACAGGGAGTGGGATTGTGGCTCTGTTGGCTGTGGAAGAAACTGGGGAAGGGCAAAGTCCGGCTGGACTGAGCAGGGAGAGATAGAGCAAGAGAGAAGGAATTCAGAGGAACACCCAGGCCCACCCCTTCTTCATCCTAGGGCATGCAGGGAGGAAAGGAGAAGGGAGCAATGTGAGTTGCGTGGCTTACGGGGGAGGAAAGGGCCCTGATTCCCTTCATTAGCTGCAGCTGGGAACACAGTGTATAAAAACAGGCAAGCTGCGTGCAGCGAGCTGTTGGGAGCAAATCGTGAATTTATCTGGTATCGTCGAGGCTTATCTGTGTTCCTGGTTTTGTGTGGATTTTTATTTACAGTTTATATGTACTTTGTTTTCGGACTGAATTTCCTCCACTTAAAGACTGTTCTTGGGAGAGTTTTTTCTCCAGCCGAAGGTAACCTGGACATTGGGGGCAAAGTTGGAAATATTAAAGGGACTCTTCTTGCTTATCTGACTGTGTTGTCTTTGTGCCACATCCCTTTGGGTCATGACACTGCCACTTGCACAAATGGAGCTTCGTCCGCGTCTGCTGCTTGCGCAGAACCATCCCCTCTCCTCCCCCCTCCCACCGCCGGTGCGCAAAACCAGAAAGGTTATAGGGAACGCTGCTGTACCGTCAAGGGGAAGTGTGTTCACAGCCTGGCTTCTCCTGGAGGAGAGACATGGAACAAGCCCGAGTGGAGCCTGCCTTAGGCCTGATTCTAGCCCAACTTTCTCTTCTAGGTGCGATTTGTCAGCAGCACCTGGGTTTTTGGAAAATCGATGTGCCACATAAGTCACTTTGTCCAGCATTGCTCCATCCTGGCGTCTGCGCTGACCTTTGCCGCCATTGCTCTGCACCGCCGCCAGGTAAGGGCCTCTCTAGATTCTCTTCTGGGAACTATTTCAAAAATCTCTATTCTGTTTGATTCAATTCTCAAAATGCCTCACAATACAGGTAATCCTTGACTTACAACCATTCGTTCAGTGACCTTTCAAAGTTACAACAGCACTGAAAAAAAGTAACTGATGATCATTTGTCATACTTATGACCATGGCAGCAACCCTCTGGTCACGAGATCAAAGTTTGGACACTTGGCCATTGGCTCGTATTTATGACGGTTGCTGTGTCCCAAGGACACGGGATCGATCCCCTTTTGCAACCTTCTGACAAGCCAAGTCAACAGAGAAGCCAGATTCATTTAACAAGCATGCTACTAACTGAACAACTGCAGTGACTCACTTAACAACTGTGGCAAGAAAGGTCATAAAACGGGGCAAAATTCACTTAACACTTGCCTCATTTAGCAAAAGAAATTTTGGGCTCAATTATGGTCATTAAGTTGAGGACTATCCTTTAAAAAATATCTATAATGTAAAAACTAAGCAGTGGTGTAATACTGTACCTATATTACTATTGTACAATTAAAAATGTAATTTAGAATAGGTACACACTGCCTCTATTTTTCACATGTGTGTGTATTTATATATGAGAAAAAAAAAAAAAAGAAATGACTCAGACTACCTATGAAAAGAACCAGAATGGAAATTAAAAACAAAAACAAAACCCTCTCCCAAATGTTAAAAAAAATGTTCTATGCTAGAACTAAAAATTAAAACATTTGAATTTCAAAGCCATCATGATATATAAATATAAAAGTAGGGAGGGAGGGAGGGAGGAAGGAAGGAGAGATCTTGAATGACTGTCTTCATTTTTTGGGTGATCCACTTTTAAACTCTTTTTGAACCGAGGCCAAGCAGAATCACATTTGCTGATCTTGCCTGGTCCCAAACTCAGACTCAGTTCTGCAACTAAGAGAGTATCTCCTCCTGCAGCTAGAATGAACGACACAGCTGGGGAAAGGGAGGCATCCCACGTGAGATACCAGGAGATGCTGATTATTACTGGAAGTGGATCCACCAAGATTGAAATGAACTTGCCCTGGAGTGTTGACCTTCACGGTTCACAGGGGCATCCCAAAAGCCACCCAAAAGGTCAAGCTCATACACACAACTGTGAACCGTAGACACCCTGCGGTTGGGTGCTTGAGGAGGTTTCAGCCTGCTTAATTCTGACCCCTTTTTCAGGTTATAATGCATCCCTTCCAACCCAGAATGTCCCTCGTGAAAGGAGGGCTGTGCATCGTGGTGATTTGGCTGATTGCCAGTTGCTTCTCTGTGCCCTACGCCTTCTACCAGAACCTCGAGAGGCTGCATTACGGGTAAGATTTATCAAGATCACCAGAGAGAAAAAAGGAAGGCCTCTCACCCTCCATCCCTCTGAACACCCGAAACCGTGAACCAGAAACGCCACAAGGACTGCGGAGGGATCGAAACCTCATTCATGATCGAAACCCTCTGCCTTCTGGATGCACCTGGACGCTCCATGGGGACATCCATGGGGGAGAGGCTTGCGCTGGGACGCCCTATTGGCCCTTGTGCAGATTTTGATACACACCCTTCTGACATGCCTGTCATGCACATGATTCTGGGTTGGGTTTGGCATTTCCAAGAATGCGTGTACCATGTGTGTAGACAAGAACCCTTTTGGTATAAAACACCAGGCTAGAAACCAGGAGACCTTTGAGTTTCTGGTCCTGCTTTAGGCACAGACGCCAGCTGGATGACCTTGGGCCGGTCACTTTCTCTCAGTCCCAAGAAGAACGCATGGGCAAACCGCTTGTGAAAATCTTGCGAAGGAAACTTCAGAGTCAAGACTGACCCAAAGGCGCACGCACGCACGCACACACACACACACACACACACACAGTATGTGTATATATTTAAATTTCCATAAAAAATCTTGAATGGTTTAATAGTCAAAATTAGCCAATAATGTTTTAAAAATTAACATATGAATGGATGGAAAAATACAAGTAAATTACTGTCGCGGCTTCATTTTTCGTAAGTGCCTATTTCAAAATAATTTGGAAGTGAACACAAATGCCTCCCCTTTGCTTCTAAAGAGGTAACACAATGTCCTCTCTCCTTTTTTTTCAAGCTTGTGCATAAACCTGAAAGAAAGATGATCCTGCTTTAAGGAATTCAGTCATAAAAGATACTTTCAGAGTAGCTTTTTCTCCCAGGCTTCTGCTGTGTTCATGCAAGATCAAAAATCATTTCTTCCAAATAAGCTGCAAAGCATGGACGGCTCTCCTTTATCCTGTTCCAAGCTGAGATCCAGTCAGTAAAAAGTGATAACACTCAATACAATTAACTGTTTGACTCATTAACTGTAACAAGGTACCAGTGACAATTTAAAAATAATTTCCCTAAGTACTAGTATTTTTGTTGTTAAATTGTTCCTGTCTCTATTAACTTCATCCACCAATTAATTTTGGCCAAAATCCTTATCAAACAATACTTTTTCAGTGTCGCCAGTTGCATCTGAAGTTACTCTCAGTGTCTGATTAGTCTGAGCTGGTGAGCTGACGAGATGAGCTGTACTGTCCATCTTCCTTCAAAGAGAAAATGAGAGGAGATAGAAAGGAGATTTGATCTGCTCCACTTTGTGCAGAGACGAACCTTTCAAAGCACAACATGTTCCACTAAACATGGTTTTCTCTCCTTCTGTGTTCCAGAAATAAGACCACTCGAATAGCGTGCCTTTCCAGCTTCCCTCCTCCGACAGATCTCTACTGGAAGTACTTGGACTTGACCACTTTTGTGCTTCTGTATCTCCTGCCTTTCTCAGTGATCTCCATCACTTACGTATCAGTGGCCAAGAAACTCTGGATGAGGAACACCATTGGGGATGTGACCATGAACCAATACTATGCCCAGCAGCGGAAAAAGAAGATGACCTTGAAGATGCTGATGGTGGTCGTGATGGTATTTGGGGTCTGCTGGTTCCCCCTGAATTGCTACTTGATCCTCATGTCCACCCAAGCCATCGATCGCAACAATGGCCTTTACTTTGCTTTCCACTGGTTTGCCATGAGTAGCGCCTGCTACAACCCCTTCATTTACTGCTGGCTCAATGAAGGTTTCCGCACAGAACTCAGGGCCCTGCTGGGAATGTGCTCTAAGAAGCAGGCTTCCAGCAGTCAGCCCCTGCGGTCTGTATCTGCTGATGTTAGGTTCATTGCTGCAAACAAGGGGCCACCACTCAGCAGGCAAGGGAGTCGTCTCACAAGAACTCTGTACAAACAGACATCTGTATTGTCGAGCTGATCGCAACAGCTGGGAGGAGGCTTGAATGTGGAACGAAGCAGCCTCGCTCGGGTTTAGTAACAGCTCTGTAATTGGGTCATCTATTGACCAGCCCTTTGCCACATCCACATCTCGTGCTTTCTGACGAGAACTTATCACATCAGCATTACACGAGTGGACATCCCTTTAGCTTGCTGCTTTCCATGAGCGATGGGGAAAATTGCAGCCCAGAAGCCTTGATACCTTCATTGTTTGAAGCTGGAGCCCAACCCGAGTGTTTGATGCAGGATTTCTGGAGCTTGGACTTCAACTCCCAGAATTTCTCCAGCCAGCATGGAGAAGTCCACGTATTTTAAAGTGGCCAAAGTTGAGAAACACTGGTTTGATCAAGTCATTATTTGGAAAGAACAAAACAGTGTAGAAGAAGAGGCGGGCTTTCTCTATGCTTTGCTTAAAAGAAAGGTACAGATTTGAACACTGAAATAAATCAGGCTGAGGAGCTTCAGAGTCTTTCAGCAGGGACAGAATTCGCTTTCAGGTGAGAAGGTCTGGAAATTCAAGTAATTATTTTTAGGAAACTCTCAGTGGCAGGAGCAGGAGGGAAAAGAAGCAGCACCCAGGGGTGGGATTCAAATTTTTTAACAACCGGTTCTGTGGGCGTGGCTTAGTTGGTGGGTGTGGCTTGGTGGTCATGTTATTGGCTGGGCGTGGCCAACTCAATATCACTCACATCGAGGCACGCATCTCCTCGCCTGGTCTCTCATGACTGTGGGGATGCTGCAACAGTTGTAAGTGTGAAAAATGGTCATAAGTCACTTTTTTCAATGGTCACTCCACACAAGCAAAGTACCAGCAAAGGAGGGGGAAAAAACTCCAGAGACGTTCCTGAGACAGGAAGTCTAGTCCTGCCAAGAATGTAATAAGGGTTAACGGAGAGGCAGTTTCTGTAAGCAACACCAGAATGTTTCCTTCCTGCCTTCCTTACAGGATTGGGCCAGTAATTTCTTCTAACAACCGGTTCTCCGAAGTGCTTAGAATGTTAACAACCGGTTCTAGAGAATAGGTGTGAACTGGAAGAATCCCACCCCTGACTGCACCTGTTCCTGGGACAAGGCTGGAATTTTTCACCCACTTGGGTTTTGTTTTGAGCAGTGATTTCAGCCTTGAAATGAAAACAATTATGATGGGTTACTTAAATTTGGTGGTGCCTTTGGAAAAGGAAAGGAGCCACAGGAAAGGGGTCTTGTGGAATCAAATGCAGGCCCCCACAACCAATAATCAAGGCTCACTGCAGATTTTTTTTGCTCAATGCACCCTGAAGGAATTCCCTGGGAAAAACCATGGGAAGGACTGCCGCAGACAAAAAGACGCACTCACATTTATACATTTCAGGAACAGAGGAGAAAATGATGCGGTACATATGCATAGACAATAGGTAATGTAAGCATCAATATTCATAATTAGCTTTAACAACACTCATGTTACTTCTCCAACCTTTTACTATTACAATCCTCAAGAAAGAGTGATTATCTTAATAAAAAGAAACATAGCCGTTAAGTTGCCATAGCAATTTTGATAATGCATTCTGAGAACCAAGCACTACTTCAATGTTGTCTCAATCAGCACACGTTCCTTGTGTGTTTTTCTCTTAGTAACATGTTCTGACTCCTCCAAAAACCATTTTTTGTTCAGTATCGGGGAGGAGCGGTTTAGTCAAAAATTCAAGGTGGTAACCACAATGGTACAATCAAAACTCCACCTGGTTTTTAAGTGCAACACCCATAAAAACATGGGCAGAGCATTGATCTCACCATCATGGTCGCCATCTTGAATATTTTTACCCTCCCCAGCGGATGGCCCTAGTTCAGAGGACCTTGTTCTGGAGTGGGACCCCATGCTCACCAATCATAATTTTAGCTGTAGCAAAGGAAACCCCCACGCTTTGCCTTCTGCCATTTCTTGCATGGCTGAAGACACGAGTTCCCCAAATCCTCAGAGCTGAGACTTAATTAGAGCAAAAGATTGCAGAAGAAGTTGGCACTGTGGAATTCTGAGAGCTAAAATCCAGATGTGTTAAGGTTGCCAAGGTCAAGCAGCAGTTCCCTGTGGGATTACTTTCTTGGGCCAGCCTGTCCTGAGTGGCCAAGAAGAAGCCACCCGTTGCTTGGAGTTGCAATCCAGAACCAAACCTTCTCCAGCCATTGTTCACATCTTGTATGCTGTTTAGCAGGAGCCTTACAGGAAAGAAGGCCAAACATCCATTGGCTCCTGCTGGCCAACCTATTTCTAAGAAGAACGTAGAGTTAATTCTGTACTGTTTACAATTCTCTGGTTTGAAGTCACCTGGAGATTCAGAAGTATGCCAGGAAGCATACCAGGGGTGGGATTCAAATTTTTCTACAACCGGTTCTGGGCGTGGCTAGGTGGGCATGGCCATGTGATTTGGGTGGGCATGGCTTTTTTTGCAGCACCACCCCCCACCCTCCCACCCAGTTTTTTGGGCCATCCTGGCCTCAGGGGAGCCTCTGGAGGGGGGGGTGTTTTTGCTCCTAGAAGGATCCCTGGGGCTCAGGAAGAAAAAAAGATGGAGCACAGGAGGGGCGCACAGCACCCCTCCATGCTACGCTTTGGGGCCATCCAGGCCTCAGGAGAGCCTCGGGGGGGTGGGGGTGTTTTTGCTCCCAGAAAGCTTCCCTGGAGCCCAGGAAGGCAAAAAGTGGAGGGGGTGCTGTGCCCCCTCCCTCCATTTTCTTTGCCCTCCTGGGCCTCAGGGAAGCCTCCTGGGTGGAGCAATAAGAAAGGAGGGGAATCCCGGCACAGCTGTTCACAGGAAGTGACTGGGCGGGTGAGCATCGGGCGGATGCTGGGCGGACGGATGAGCAAGCATCAGGCATTGGGCGGGCGGGGCAAGCGCGTGGTAACCAGGCGATCAGGTTGGGGGCGTGGCCAGCCAGAAGTTACTACCGGTTCGGCGACCCACGCCAAATCCTTGCTACCAGTTTGGCTGAAGTGGTGCGAACCGGCTGAATACCACCATTGATGCATACGCTACGAACTCCTGCCTCTGGCTGCAGACCTGAGAGAGAAATGCAAGCATATTGCAATGATAAGCAGGTTTAATGACCACATCCATTTGCCAGGAAATGGATGCAGAAGAAAGAGACACAGAAAGATTAGCCCAGAGCCAAATGTCCTTGGTATAAATGCACCCTAGACTGGATTCATAATGTAGGGCGAGACACACTTTCTACGAACTAATTAATGATGGGCAGAAAACAGGCTGCTTTGTGGCTGGAGGTGCACAATACATTTAACTTGTTTACTAACCAAACCAATTCTCTGGGTTTCCACAGTGCCATGAATCACAAACCAATTAAATAGCTTGCCTTCACATCACTAAAACTATCCAGCGAAAAACTGCTCTTGAAGTGACCTGGCTTACTCTGCATTATGGGCGCCATCACTGCCAAACGTGGAATTTTCATCATGCTGCCCCCGTTGAGCTGTTTAAGCAGAGCTGAGGACACCCTGGCTGTTGCCTTTCCTAAATACAAGTTTTCTCCATATTGACTGGCCCCCTTTAAAGACCCTGTCAGCATTCCAGCTGCAGGAAGACGGCATGGACACTTGAATGCCAGAGAGCTACATACATAACAATAGACAAATTAGGAATAATTTTAAGAATAGTATTAAATGTTTTGGAATACTACAAAGCCCATCCGGAAAAACAAATAGCCCTTGTATTCTTGGATGCACAGAAGGCCTTTGACAATCTAAATTGGCAATTCCTAATCCAACAAATTTACAATATGAATTTAGGCACTAAATTTGAAAACATTGTGACTACAATTTATGATTCACAAAAGGCAAATATTATAATTAATGGAGAGTACACGCGCTCAATAAAAATAGAAAGGAGTCAGGCAGGGATGTCCATTGTCTCTCCTGCTCTTCATGCTATCTGTGGAAACATTGCTTACACGAATTAGACAGAACCCAGGACTAAAAGGACTAAAAATTAAAAAAGAAGAATATAAACTCCAGTCATTTGCGGATGATATGGTATTTTTCATAGAGGAACCAATTGAAACAGGTCAAGAACTATTGAAAGAGTTAGATCAATTTGGGGAAGTTGCAGGACTTAAAATTAATAGGGGAAAAAACAAAATTAATAACTAACAATTTAACAGAAAAACAAAAACTAAAATTGGAAAGGATAATGGGATTACAAATAGTAAAAAAAGTTAAATACTTAGGAATTTGGTTGACAGCTCAATGCAAAACTCTAATGGAAAATAATTGTAATAAATTATTACAGCAAGTCAAAAAAGATTTAGAGATATGGGTTAAATTGCAAATCTCCTTATTAGGGAGGATTGCCACTATAAAAATGAACATTCTGCCCAAATTTATTTACTTATTCCAAACAATACCAATAAAAATACATAAAAATTACTTCGTGGAACTTAACAAGATAATTACCAAATTTATTTGGCAAGGGAAAAAACCGAGGATAAATCTAAAGGCAATGCAAGATATGAAGAGCAGGGGAGGTATGGCACTCCCAAATTGGGAATTATACTATAGTGCAGCCTCCTTACTTTGGTTGAAAGAGTGGGTAAATCTGCCGAATAAAAGGATCTTATTTTTAGAAGGCCATGATTTACAGAGGGGATGGCGCGCATTTTTATGGGACACTGGAAAAATTAAGCAGAAGTATTTCCACAGACATATAATTAGAGATTCCTTATTGGCTAATTGGAACAAAATAAAAAAAAAACCCATTATTTAAAAATCCCAATCTGGGTCTCAACGATGGAGGCGATGATACATCCAAATAATCTAGATCTTAATAAAATGTATTAAGATAAAATAACAACGTTGGAAGGGACATTGAAAGTCTTCTAGTTCAACCCCTGCTCAAGCAGGAGACCCTGTATCATTCCAGACAAGTGGCGAGCAGTTCCACTGGTTAATTGCTCTCACTGTCAGGAAATTTCTCCTTAGTGCTACGTTGCTTCTTTCCCCGATTAATTTTCATCCGTTGTTTCTTGTTCTGGTTTCTGGTTCTTTGGAGAACAGGTTGACCCTC